TCCTTTAAATATTACTTGCTATTTATGGTACCTCATGCTATTACTTAAGCTTTATTTGTTTTAAAATGAAACATATTGTAACAGGGAAGAACAAATCTGATTCCATATTGGATCTATTTATTTTTACTTTAACTTCTGTGTTCTATTGCTTTTGCTACAAGTTAAGAATTTGCCTATAGCCTGAAATATACAGCACAGCCCATTCTCAAGGCTCTGATCTTTAAAGCTTTAGTACTTTATAGAGATTAAAAGGTTGCAGAATGGACTGTAAGAATGGATTGTAAGAATGGACTGTAAGAATGACCTGACTTACATGGATAGTCGCAAGAACAAAGGATTCCTGCACCAAGAAGTATGCAACAGTCAACACCCTCCCTCCCCTTTTAGTACAAAAGAAGCCTGAATTCTAACACAGGTAAGATGATTCTTTGCAACACTAGCCCACCATCTTCTCAGTCTGCTGGCTTTCTGAATAAAGTCACTATCTCTTTCCTCAACAACTGATTCATCAATTTATTGTTCTGTCATGTGGCAAGCAGTATGAGCATGAAGTCGTAACAAAATTACTATAATAAATGGAAAAGCAGTATCTTATGAAGTAAATGGATACTCATGAGAAAGGATTAAGCCTAACTATGTACTCTTGCTTGCCTACAATCTATTAACAAAGGATAGAGACTTTTAAGACATATCGGCCCCTAAAAGAGATGAATTTTCTCTTCAATTAGAAGTCTTGCTGGATAACTGGAAAACACACACATTTCTGTCATTTAAGTTTATTTGACTCTGTTTCTTTATACCACCTAAAATCATTTAAATAGAAACTATGGCAAACTTTGGAAAACACTCATCTATGCAAAGAAGAGCAAAGAAATAAAAAAAATACATGACTTTTGTTACACATTTATCTAAGTTTACAAAGTGCTAGAGTGAGCAAGATTTAGAAAATGCCAAATGGAATTTGATGGGTGGAGCATAATTAGTTATTCTCCTTCTGTTCCATAATATTTCCTGGCAATGCTTAGTCAAAACAGATCTGATAGCTGTGGGTAACATTCATATGTTAATACTGTGATGATAAGGCTCTGAACAACCACAGTTCTTTAAAAAAATGAAGGATGTATTTCAACTTAGATAAGAGATCTTCACCTACTCCTGTTGAGTTCATCACTGGACAAGCGCCTCCTTAATCCATAAAATTACACCTGTCACAGGAACTTAACTTCATTAACACACCTTCACAGTCCGTGGTAAATTATTAGCAATTCACAACCCATGATTCTCAAGTTCATTAACACGGACTCTTCTGCATCTTTATGATCTGACTCTGACTTTTAAGAATAACTGATGGATTTTCCTGGTGGTCCAGTGGTTAAGAATCCGCCTTGCAATACAGGGGACATGGGTTCGATTCCTGGTCAGGGAACTAAGATCCTACATGCCATGGGGCAGCAAAGAGAGCTGCATGAGAGAGAGTTGCATGAGCTGCAACTAGAGAATCCCTGCCCCACAACGAAAGATCCCACATGACACAACAGAGATCCCTCACGCTGCAACTAAGACTCAGCGTAGCCAAAATAAGTAAATAAATAAAGTTTAAATTTTTTTTCAAAAGAAAAAAAAAGAATAACTGAAAAACATTCAAAGAGAGTAGGGAGAATGTATAAAGCAAAACTGCCTCTGAAGCAAAATCTATTAACATGAAAACATCCAATCCACCATACGTTCTCCAATTATCCTTCAAGGAAAAGGAAATGGAACTTCTGGTGAGCTCACTATCCCCAAGAGTGGAGCATGATTCTTCTGCATTTAACTCCATAAAGACAGAAGCAAAATAGAAAGAATTTAAAGGGAGGACAAAAGTTGAACATAGAAATGAATATATCATATTCAGAAAAGTCTATTTTAACTGTATAAATAATATTAAATGGTAATACATGCACATATTAAAAAAAATCATAGTCCAAATGGCTCACAGTAAAAAGTAATTTACATTCAGCTTTCTTCCCCAACTTCCCAGCTCATCCCAAAAGAAATCACAGTTGCCAGTCCCTCTGCTGAAAAAGTGTCCTTTTCTGGGTTTTCCCCAAATAGGTCATCAATACAGATGCTGTTATGCACCTTACTTGATATGAACAGGTATGTCAAAGACTATTCAGTATGTGTACTTACAGATTTGCATCGCGATACATAAAGTAATGGAGATATAGTCTAATTCTAGGATGTCACTAAAGGAATATTCACGGAGACTCTCACATGTAACAGATATTGCTATAGGGTCTGGAAACAGCTACCAACCAGATTGGTGTGGTTTTTCATCTAAAAGAGCATGCATTCTACAGCTTCCTCATTAAGCAAAGCCTTCCTGGCTATAGTGTAACAACTAGAGTGAAAAACACCGAATAAACCTCTGCATCATAACATACTTTTCTATTTCCTACTATGGGTCCAGATGATGAAAGAAACCATATGTACTCATGCAGACATACACAAATACACATAAGTATGCCATGTATACATGCAGATACTGAAACACCTATATCACTTATATGTCCTATATACATATACTATCTATATGACACATTACAAAGACATGTAATATACTGCATATGCACATACATATAATAGTCTACATATGCACACAAATATAACATATTATATAGAGAGACTTATGTGTGTTTGTGTATGTCTACATGGGTCCACATGCTTTCTTTCATCATCTAGACCCATAGTAGGAAATAGAAAACTGATATCAGAATCTACAAATGGATAAGGAATAGCCTCCACAGTGAGTGGCATGATGGTATCAGAACTGTGAAGGAGTAGCTTGACATTCCATTCAGGGAATTTGTTTTTTAAAGAAGATACTGATACAGATGAAAGGGGGGAAAATGGCAAGTAACATACATTTGTACGTTTCAATACGTTCTCAAGCTGTTGATTTTCTGTTTCATCTGAGGAAGTGTTGAAGCCCCTTGGGAATGCCTGTTAAGACAGTTGATGCATAAAAAGGCAGCTTACACCTTACGTCTTAATAGGGATGAACTACTCTTGGAAAGTTTCCTTAATTTCTCCATGCCCAAGACAGACTAACTGAGTGAATGCTTAGCCAGAAAGTCAATAAAATGTTTCACATGATTCAAATCTCTTTGCATTTCATACATAACACTACAAACACTGCTACTTCCACTAATCCATACAGTAAATGGCAAGAAGAAACAAGAAGGAAAAAAAGCACCTTGGCTGGAATTTCTCCCAAGTCTCCCCCAGGCTCCTGCAACTTTCTGGTAAAGAAAAAAAAAATGTCTGTCTATATATCTATCTGTGTATGTATCATTTATCTATCCACCCATCCATCCATCACATTACCTATTATTTCTATAACTATCATCTATTTATTGCTTATCTATCTATCATTATTCATCTACCTAACTATCTATCATCCTAATTTTTGCTAACATTACAAAGAAAACCCTTAAGGGAGCTGGCACCTCACTTCCCAAACCATATCACTGGCACAGACACTTTTGGATGTGACCTTATTTATAAGTTCTTGAAGGTACTCCATGTGGCAGACCATTACTACGTAAAGATTTAGGGCAGTACTCAGATACAGATCTCTTCTCTGCTCTCATCTGCTCTACAAGCACATCTTCAAGAAAAAAAAATTCTTGAAACACTGGTCACAAGAGGAAAGTCATGACAGAGCTTGACAGTTGATAACCCAAATCTCAGAGCACCCATGTGAAACAGGAGCATGGAGGGAAATCCACATCATGTCACCCTCAAATTCGAATCAAATGCTCTTTGGAAACAAATCCCCAAAGGCAAACTAGACATCAGCTGAGATTCACGACCTCTATATTAGAATAAACAATGGAAAATAAATTTTTTCTAAACTTGGAGCTAGGAAGTTTAAAAAACTGACTCCAGAAATAATGCTATATAGGTAGGGTTGGTCCATTTATTATTATTTCAATTGCCAGTAATACAATGAGCAAAAAAACCCCAACCAACCCCAAAGTGGCAAAAACAGGTGACCAGACCAAAAATATTTTGGAATCACAAATACTGCTGCTGCTGCTGCTAAGTCACTTCAGTTGTGTCCGACTCTGTGCAACCCCATAGATGGCAGCCCACCAGGCTCCCCTGACCCTAGGATTCTCCAGGCAAGAACACTGGAGTGGGTTGTCATTTCCTTCTCCAATGCATGAAAGGAAAAGTGAAAGTGAAGTCGTTCAGTTGTGTCCGACTCTTAGTGACCCCATGGACCGCAGCCTACCAGGCTCCTGAGTCGATGGGATTTTCCAGGCGAGAGTCCTAGAGTGGGTTGCCACTGCCTTCTCCGGAATCACAAATGAGGTTTCCGGAAACAGAAATAAATCAAGAACCACTGAGTTTCCAAGTCTCTCTGCCCAGCTGTGAATCAACTCTTTCTAATTTGGTGAGTATCAGAGACAGAGTCACAATTCCCTATAATTCCACAGCAGATTGTCCACAGGCCAATCAGAAAATGCCCACACAAAATGCAATGCTTACATTATATTTAAATTGACACGGCGAAGGTGGAAAGCACCTTTTCAGGCCAGGAAATCTACAAACTTTACTTGTTTGTTTGTTTGCTTTCTCGAGCAACTCCTATTTGGAACACTTGCAAAATGGGCCGTTTTATCAGAGCTGCCCAGACTTTCCATTTTCCCTAATCGTACAGATTAGAAAGAGGTCACGATGCCGTGTAACATCATTTGGAGATAAACTCCATCTGCATGAGGTAGTCCCTGCAGGTGACCCAGAGTTGCACTGGGACTGTAAGCAGGTCCACCATGAATAATAGCTCACCTTTTTCCAAATGAAGGATTTCATCCATCTTACCTAGGAGCGCTAATAACACAGACTCACAGCAAATGCAAACAGCAGTGAAAGTGGCTGTTAATGACTGGGGGGAAAAGGAGGCCACGGGCACCGATAATCTGAATATACGGCAGGCCATGGGGACTCACCTTTTTTCTGAGCCAGCCGATTTCTTCTGACAAACGATGACAGCAGGTGCGTACTTCCCAGCGTAATCTGTGCTCTCCTTGACTTCCCACACGGAGGGGCTGCTGGCTCTCACCCCAATGATGTTCATGCCTTTCATGACCTTTACCCTGTTGGAGACAGCAAGGGCACAGCTGAGATGCCGGTGGGGCATCCCTGGACTACCTCTGCTTCTGGGGACACCCAGCACGTCATGGCACATTGTCGCCTGGCAGGTGTAACCCCGTGTTTAATAGAATTTCATCACCCATTGGCAATTCCATTCCAATCCGTTCATCCTCATTTTTTCTCCTGGGCATTCCTTCCTTTAACAGAACAGCTAGAACAGAACAACAGAACAGTGACACAGGCAAGGACTGGTCACATAAAGAAATAATATTCTGATAGTGGATGGCTTTAATTAAAAAAAGAAATTACCTGAATACCCGTAGACTGTTAAAATTAAATAGAAAAAAGAAATTCATTCAAACTGCAAAAGTGAATGAATAGTAACAATGCACAGTTTTGGAAGGTTTTTTCCATGCCAGGTACTGATGGGCCCTTCCTCTGTATTATCTAATTTCCCAAGCATCATTCCAAGTTCAAGGGTGGAGGACAGGCCCTGCCGTTCAGACAGTTTTGAGAAGCATGCTAGTTCATAGGAAAACAGATGCTGACAGGGTACAGAGGCATGCCTTAATTCCCCCCTTTTTTTAAAGATTTTTTTTAATGTGGACTATTTTTAAAGTTTTATTGAATTTGCTGCAATATTGCTTCTATTTTATGTTTTGGTTTTTTGGCCTCAAGGCATGTGGGATCTTAGCTTCCCAACCAGGGATCGAACCCACAACCCCTGCATTGGAAGGCAAAGCCTTAACCACTGGACTGCCAGGGAAGTCCCTGCCTGACTTCTACTCTTGTGTTCCTCCCACGACATACTCATCGTCATCATTGACATCACCAGGACCATCATTCCATCATCACCACTATCACTTATTGATTCTTTTCCACAAACTGGGCACTCTTCTGAGTTCATGAGAGTTTTATCGCATTTCACTCCCACGAATGCCCTATGAGGTCAGGACCATTTTAATTTTCACTGACAAGCTGAGCAACCAGGGGATCTGGCTGCAGGTGATCCAGGATTTGAAACGATTCCTGAATTACAGTGTTGGTCCAACGAGTCTCAGGGCTTTCCTTGGCATCACATAAAACGTCCTCGTGCTGAAGCCACTTATTTGAGCCAGTCAATTTCTTTTGTTAGCCGACACTGGCCAGTACCTGTCCTGAGATCTAACATCTTCTCAGACTTAATGACAAATTTGCCCAAGCAGGTGAGGCCTCCGTGCCAGACTGCTTATTATTTCTCTCCTTCCCTGGTGGCTCAGGCAGTAAAAAAAATCTGCCTGCAATGCAGAAAACCTGGGTTTGATCCCTAGATTGGGAAGATCCCCTGGAGAAGGGAATGGTACCCACTCCAGCATTCTTGCCTGGAGAAGGGAATGGCTACCCACTCCAGTACTCTTGCCTGGAGAATTCCATGGACAGAGAAGCCTGGTGGGCTACAGTCCATGGGGTCGCAAAGAGTCAGACAGGACTGAGGGACTAACACTTTGATTCATTCACAGAAAGGGACAGATGACATGCTTGCAAATTTTTCCCCCAGACAGCAGAGCAGCAGGACGAGAGAGGCAGAGGATGCACGGCAGTAGTGGTTCCCTCTTTCACTCTTAGTTTTCTCTAAGAGATCTCATGGGAATAAATATATACGAAATGGAAAGGATACAGTCAAAGGACCATGCAATAAATCGCAAACAGTTGGATGCACAAACTGCTGCGAAGAGTCATGCTTCCTGCTGTGTTTTCTTTTCTTAGTCCCTTGAGGAAAACATAAACAAATCTGAAGCAAGAAGGCCAAGGGGATAAATGGGGCAGGCTGATGGGTGACCAGGTGGAAAATGCTGCCGAGAGGGGAGCCTCAGAGGTATCCTCCCCAGATTTATAGCTGTGGTACCTGTAATGATACAGAGGCAAGGAGGTGGGTTCTGAGTCTCCATCTCTAAAATCCTCATTCTTATCACCAGATGAGATAAGCCAGGTCACCCCTAATATTAGGAGCAAAGCGGGAAGAAAAGATGCCACTTTTAGAACTGGGGCTTGGTGAGAAAAGGACTTGCCTGCAAGCATGAAGAATGCAATGTCCCATAGAAACAACTTGAAGACAGACTGTGCAAAGAAAAGTGAACACATCAGGTCTGAGACTGCCACCCTAGAAAGGCATGCTGGCAAGGCTGCCCTCTGGCATCTGGATTTTGAAAGGGGTTTCCTCAACTCTTTAATAAGAGGGGCTCACTAAGTCTAAATTTTTTTGTGCAAGCAATATAGTTGATGGCAGACTCCTGCTTTCTTTCTGGTGGTCTGAAATTACCATGCCTGCCAGGCAGGTGGTATCTAGGAGACCTGCCCCCAGTAAAATTCTCGGCTCCCAGGCTTGGATGAGCTTTTCAGACAGACAACTGTTTACCTGTGTTGTCATAACTCGTTGCTGGAGGGATGAAGGGCATCTTGTACAACACCCTGAAAGGGGACTTTCCCAAGCTTGTGCCTAGTACCCTGATACTCCACCCCGCGTCTCTTTCCCTTTTGCTGAACTAGCTTTGTGTCCTTTTGCTGTAATAAATCTTAACCCAATTATGACTGTATGCTGAGTCCTTCAAGTTTTCCCAGAAAGTCATCAAACCCAGAGGAGGTCCTGGGGACCCCAAAACACATACTACTTTGCCTCGTCTAACAAAGACAAGAGGAATCACTTCTCACATTTGAACCCCAGCACTGAAGCTAGCATTTTTAGGTGAGCGCCATGCATAGCATTGCTTCTAGAGGAAAAACAACACAATGTTTTGTGTCATAAATAATGCAAGGAGAAACCAACATTTTGAATGAAGTCATTTATAAATTGGGGATTGTATGCACAGACTAGGAAGCCATCTGACCTTCTGGTAACACGAGCTAGGATTCCTGCCTTGCAGGAACTCACTGAAATTGTAAGCAACCAAGATGAGTGATGAAAAGAAGTTCAATTCACTACAGATAGCTGCTAATTCTGTGAAGATGAATTCTAAGGGCTGTTCCAATTATTGTGCACTGCAATTTTATTGAGTCAAATTTACTTTAAATAAATAGGTCATCAACTTGGATTTGGCAATCTTTTCGTGACACAGGAGTTATTAGTACCTAAGCTTTTTCTGATATAGAATGGGCTCTTATTTTTCTTAAATTTTATTCATAAGTAGGTTATTTGGAATTCAGATACTGTTTCTCCAATGAATCATTTTTAAGTTCTTAGGAAAGAACATGGAGGCTTATTTAACCCACGAAGTACCCAATATCTGTTGCCAATAATTCCAGTGCAGCTACCCTAAGCTATAATTTATGGCATTATTTCTAAAGGGGGATTATGAAATTGAGCACTGGGCACTCAGAAATTGCGCTTTGTGGACACAGAATGTTTTCATAAGAGAAGACACATTTCTATAGCATATTTCAGATGTTCTGAAGTGGGCAAGAGGTCCCTGCTCGAGAAACATCAGTGAATAGAGTACAAATATCAAGAATGAATGTAAAAACAAAATTTTTTAAAAAAGAATGAATGTGTGCAAGAAACGAGAGTGGTTGTTTCTCAGAGACACATCTATGGCACACACTGAATATGGTTTGTGTTGGGCGCTTCATTTTGAAACATTCATCTCAGCACTGTAAGTAGCAGCGTTTTGGAACTATTAAGATAATCCTCAGAACACATGAAATTTGGCTCCGCTGGGTCTGAACCAAATGCTACTTCCTTCTCTTGTTGATGACAACTGAGTTACTTACATTCATTAGTGGAAGTTTTATAATCTACTTGTGGTTCAATAAATACAGGTTACACTGACAGCTTCACTACATAGAGATAAACACAGCACTCGATTTCCAAAGACATTTACTACATATTTACACTTAATAGTATGTCTACTGTATGTCTACTGGGGAAAAAGCCATAATTTCCCCCCACAGAATGCACATGAACTGTGGACTGGAATAAATAAACACTGCTTGGCTTAAGAGTATATTTTATTTCAAAAATATAACAGTTATTGTATTTATATAAGTATATACACAAATATATCCATAGGTAGATACAAATATACATACAAACATAAATACACACATGCATATACACACAAATATAAACACATAGATATACACATCATATATACACACATGAACACATACACACACAGACATATACAGATGCACATACACAAACACACACATGTACATACACATGCACAAGAAACATATATACAATGTGCACACACAAATATACATGTATATACACATAGACATATATACATGAAAATATATGCACACACATACACACAGGTATATACACACATATTGACATACACAGACATATATACATGCATATAAACACACTCATATACACATAGTGACATACACAAGCACAAATATAAACACATATATATACACACATACTTGCATACATACAAACACACACAGACATATAGAAACATAACACACATATATGTATATACACATATATCTCCTGCATTGCAGGCAGATTCTTTACCATAAGTCACCAGGAAGTCCACATATATACACACACAGATATATATATACACACATAAACAAATATTATGCATGCATATATGCATATATTTATATATACATATAGATGCATACCCATATTCACACATGTGTGTACATGTGTGCTTGTGTGTGTTTCAAATACAGTATCCAGTAACAGTTGAAACAGCCAGCAGCCTGGGATCAGAGCTGTGGTGTGCACCTGTTATTTCTGCTCTCCCACATTCCATCCCTCATATCCTGGGTAACAGAAGGATGCTACATGCTTCCAAGTGTTGTGGATTCGGTTAGTGGCATCCTTTCCAATTAACTGATGGGAAACCTGTCACTTCTCATTGGTTCATAGCCCAAAAAACCCCTTTGGTTCAAAATAAAGCTGTTTTGAATTCCTCCCTGTCTCCTTACTTATCTTCCCTCATTAATTATGGAAAAGAATTAATATACTGTGTTTTCTCATACGCAGTAACTTTATTGTAATATTAAG